CGAGTTTGGATGGACAGGGGTGATGGGGGTAGAAGGAGTTGGAGTTGGTGGAGGTTCGGACTCTGAAGCTGTGGCTGCTGCTGAAGGCGCATTGGTGGTTGGAACGCGCTTGGCAGGGCGCTATAATGGGTCAGCATTGCACTTGGATATGGATGTAGTGAAAGAGAGACATACCTTTCGATTATTATCCTTCGTGTCCTTCTTCTTCGGCGCCGGCTTTGAGCTCTGCTGTGGTGTGGGAGGAGCCGCGCTACCAGGCTGCGGTGACTGTCGCCCATTATTTGGAGCCGTAGCTACAGGTGGTGCCTGCGGTGGGGGCATAGCATTTCGCTCTTGAGGGGTTCCTACAGGCTGCCCAGGCTGGCCCTGCTGCTGCTGCTGCTGCTGCTGCGGCTGTTGTTGCTGTTGCTGTGGCTGTTGCTGCTGCTGTGGTGGGATCATAGGTTGACCCTGAGGAGGCTGTGGTTGTTGCCAATTACCACTTGGCATGCGAGCCCCAGCTTGGGCTTGTGCCTGAGCCTGGGCCTGTTGCTGACGTGCCATGGCATCCATAGGCTGCGTCATTTGCGCACCAGAGTAGGCTGGATTGGAGCTAGGTGGGCGCATGCCATTAGGACCAACGACACCACCAGCTTCCTGCATATTCTTCATAGTGTTGAAGAATGCTGCACCACCCATATCTTGGGGAATTTGATTACCAAAGTTCATAGAGGCTGGCGAGCCACGGCCTGGTTGCATAGCGTCACCAACGTTGGGAGAACCAGGGAGGCCAGTCTGGGGCATCTTGGGTGTTCCGCGCTTCATCTGTTCGCTGGGGTTTGGTGAGGCACCGGCACGGCTTCCCTGAGGAGACGTTCCAGGAGGGAGACTGTTATGCATCCCTTGGGCTGGCTGCTGCTGCTGCTGCTGCTGTCCAGCACCTGGCTGCCCGGGTTGGGCTGGCCCTGGTTGTGGTTGGCCATCACGAGCCATGCTGTCTTGTTCCTGGCGGGCGATCAAAAGACGTTTCTTATTCTGCTGCTCAAGCAACATGAGTTGCATCTGATAATCTTGGAGAGCGTGGTTGCCATTCTGCGCCCCAGGAGTCGGCATACCGCCTTGACGCATTTGGGCGGCCATCTGGCCGTTACTATAGTAGTCTTGTGGTATCATTCCTTGGTTGTCATGCATGGGTTGCATCATGTCTGGTTGGTTGGGCATGACTCCTGGGTTGATTAGGCCATTAGGAATGCCCTGATTGTTCATTGCGGATCGAGTATGGTGAATTAGATTTTGATTATAGACCTGAATCGACTTTGCTTGAACACTTGGGTTCTGGGACTGGAAGGACTGGAGTTGTGCAGCAGTGAGGTTTCGTGGATTGATACCATGCTGCATCAGAAGAGAGTTGGCCTGCTGTTGGTTCTGCTGGCCTGGCATACCCTGAGGTTGTGCGCGACCGTTGGGGGTCATCTGCGCGCCGTTAACTTGGGGGCCGTCAATGCGCTGGCGCTTGGAGGGAGATGGGGCGTTTTCCACAGAAGAAGGGGATTGGGGGCGATGGCCATTCATCTCCATGTCAGAGTGTTCGCGCTGCATCTGGTGGTGCATCATCTGAGCCTGCTGGTTTCGCAATTGGGCGATTTGTTGCGGAGTCCTAGTACCGTTAGTTACAGTATTCTGCTTGCGCTTTTGCATATTAGCACAACATACATATTCTGGGGATTCTGGAGAACAGATTTCTGGAGATTAGCTGGCACCATGTTACCGCGTACTCCGCGCATGGCAGCAAACTGGTTAGGCATTAGCTGGCCCTGGCGAATGAGTTGATTTTGCTGCTGGTCTCGCAATCGCAGCATGTTCTACAAGAAATACAGAAGTTAACATTGATAAGTCCATGTCAATTGGTGGCAGATCGATAATACTCACCTGAGTATGCTGTAAATACTGCATGGCGTCATTACTCCTTGGTTTCTTTCTCTGGGCGGAGAAGACATCCCAAAAGATATTGAACCAATCGAATAAGAAACTGGTTTGTTGCGAATCACCCAAGTTTGGTCTTGGCAAATCGTCGGGGATGCGCGACTTGATATCCTCTTTACCTTCCTCGGACTCGACTCCGTTAACTTCCCCATCTCTGCGGTGTGGTGTGCCTTTGTGAGGCGCAGTGGTGGTGTTTAGGGTGACGCTCTCGTCCTGCACGAGCGCACGCGCACAATCATGATATCCGCGTTTGAGGAAGTAGTCGTAAATATAAGTGTTGAGTTGGGTGGCCATAGTATCCTGTAGATTCTGATTCGGCTCACTTCGAGGGGCAGAGCCTGATGCGCTGTTCATCATTGGGATACCTCCCATGGGCATACCTCCCCCAGGAACGCCTACGCCCGGGACACCGACGGGTACGGCGTTACCGGGCATAGCGACGCTAGGGTTCATGCCTTGCATATTCATCTGGTTCATCGTGAGCAGGAGGCGGAGGTGCAGCCGTCCCAAAGACGATCGGACCTGCTCTCCAGGAAAGAAGTGATTTCGTTTTCAAGGCGCTCTGTCGAGTTTGAGTGTCGGTTCAATATTGAAAAAGACGAAGCCCGTCTTTGCGTCAGAAGGATCAATTTCGTCAGAAATGTGTCTCATATATGGGCTATCCAGCAGACTCAAGAAGGTAAGATTCTTTCCTGCGGTGTGCAGTTGTGTTATTTTGCGAACAAACAAGGCCGCTAGTCCTGTGCTGGTTTCTTTTCAAGCGCGTTAGTTTTGAATACCATACCACATTCGAGGACGAAAAAACACGCCTGCCGAGACACAGACCTCAAAAGTGGCAATAACGAACCTATCCTGGCAGAGAATTGTATCCTCTGCAGCAAAGGGTGCGAAGAATGGCAGAGTGGTCGTTTGATGGGAGATGAGAGGAAGGGCTTTTCTCGTCGGGCGCCAGAGTGGCTCCTGGGCGATCGCTGGTCGTTCGGCTGGGCTGGGGGGGTCCGGAGGGCGGAGAGTGTCAGCGAAGGGGATTTTACAGGCACGCCGCTCCACGAAGCCTCTTGCACCAAGTCCACCAGCGGTTCTGTCAGCGTCTTCTCGTGGGGGCCGCCGTGTCGTCGATGCTGGATCTCAAGCAGGGGGAAGAAAAACCGATATGCGTCTCGTCAGTGAAGTTCGTTTTTCGCTGGGGAAGTTCGAACTTGCATCTTTCGCGGGCGGTGGCTGTTTAGGGACCGGCAGAACGCGCGCCCGACGCAGATTTGGTCACGGGATGAACTTTTATCCGGTCACCTGACCCCCGCCTCCATCGGGCACCTATTTTGCGCCTCAGCGAAGGGAAGGGGAGGGAGTGGACGGCGGCAGCGGCCTGAGGAGGGAATAGCAGGAGGAGACCAAGATAACTAGTTGCAGCGGCAGCAAGGCCAAAAAGAAAATACAAAATAATAAAAATAAAAAATAAATAAAAAACGTACGGAGAGTAGACTAACTAGAGACAGCAGATAGCTACATGAACCAACTCCGGTACCAGGAAGTACGTCACCAGCCCAGGCAGGACGAGAGTAGACAACCAAGACAACCCATGAGAACAAAAAGCGCAGTAGCCCAATCAGCCAGAGACAAAGAGAACAAAAGCGTCGAGGATCACTCCTCTGGAGGCAGCTCGTCCTCAAGGTAGCGGACGAGAGTAACTCGCATCTCTGTAGTGTCATTTCCCCGAAGGATATCACTAACAAAGTGCGCTTCAACCTGAACTTGCACCTGTAGGCCGAGTTAGCTTGCACGCGTCTAATTCAGTCACAGTCCAGTAAGCATACCATCTCAAGTGCCCCCCTTAGCACCCCACAGAGGATATTGGAGTACCAGAGCTCGTCCTGCGCTCGTCCATCGTCAGGCAGCTCGACAAAGTCGGCCAGTGGGTTCTCCTCAAACACAAGCGAGAACTGCTTGTTATCGCTTGTCCAGTTGGTCACAGTAGGCGTAATGTTGAGAAACACCTTGAATCCAACCTACACCCGGGGTATATGAATATATTAGATGGCCATGTTATATTCCGTAGCTGGCAAGTGGCAGACACACACCTTTGAAATAATGTCAGCAGTCTCCCGGAAGTTTGTGCATCGTCCCATCCCGGACCGCGCCAAAAAGTCCTCGATGAGTCGCATGCCTATATTATAACCCATCTTGTCAAGCTGCCGGTTGACTTCTAGATAGTCACTTTCGTAGTCCGCGCAGAGCTGGGCAACGACAGTCCCATAGGTCAGCGTTACCAGCTCTGCGTTGACCTTATCAACCTTAGTTCTACACGTGTTAGAACAGAGCCAAAGCTGTTAAACGGGCAGAGCAGTGCGTACTTCCATATCCTAAATTTCAAGTTAGCATGGGTTTGCGCCAGATCTTTAGCTCTGGGTACTAAGGGGAGGCAGTTATACTCTTCTCCAATCCGAGCTGCTTTGCTCGACATTGTTCGACTCTCAGACCAATGCCTCCAGTCTCACACTTATTATACCTTTAATGTTCTAACTGGAAGACTCTAGACCTCGTTCGTAATAAGGTGGCGCTTTTACAAAAGCTGGTGGGTAGTTGTAGCTAAGCGCGGTAACTAACTTGTTAACCAACTAGTTAGTTAGTTGATTAACGAGTTAGCCGCCGAGCCGCGTTTCCATTTCACCGCGTCTAAAAAATAAAATCACGACCACAGGTAACATCTAGCGACCCGGCACCCACACCTACTACATCGACTTGACATAGATACATACAGCATATACACCTCTATATTGCTTAACTGTCTACGCCGCCATGATGTCTGCGGAAAAGAGACCAGCGCACGAATCCCTCGGGTCTGTACAACTTGTCAAACGTCAACGATCAGATAGCAATCTAAACCAGAGCGCCGTTGCTATATCCAGTGGAACCGGAAAGAATGGAGCTCTTATACAGTCTGTAAGTAGGAAGGAATTGATTATTTTCTGTCCATACCTTGGATTGCTCTCTAACAAGGACCGAAGGTACCCCGGACAAGCGGCCTCGCTGCTCCTATCATGGAGCTTACAGGCCATTCAGGCGAAATCTTCTCTACCCGATTTGATCCTACCGGCCAACATATAGCTTCTTCTGGAATGGACCGATCTATACGTACGCCATCGTGTTCTTTTCCCTTTTGTCCTCTGTTTCATCCCGCGTTATTTCCAAGCGAGAACATTTCAAACATCTCTAACAACTGATAATCTAACCAGTATTATGGCGAACATACGGTAATTGCGAAAATTATGGCATACTTACCGGCCATAAAGGTGCCATTCTCGATCTTCAATGGTCCCGGGACTCACATACCCTTTTTTCGGCTTCCGCAGACATGACCCTAGCGAGCTGGGACCTGGAATCAGGGACACGCATACGGCGCTATATAGATCACACTGAAATCGTTAATTGTTTGGATATCAGCCGGCGTGGCCAGGAGTTGTTGATTAGTGGTAGCGATGATGGAAGTATCGGTATATGGGATCCTCGCCAAAAGACAGCCATTGATTATCTTGAATCATCCGCCGCGATGCCTGTGACTGCTGTCGCCCTCTCCGAAGCTGGGAACGAGATATACTCTGGTGGAATTGAAAATGATATACATGTCTGGGATATCCGGAAGCGCGCCATCACGTATTCCATGATTGGGCATACAGATACGATCTCATCTTTACAGATTTCTCCGGATTCTCAGACTCTCTTATCCAACTCCCATGATTCAACAGCACGGACATGGGATATACGCCCCTTCGCCCCCGCAGATCGTCATATTCGAACATTTGATGGAGCACCGACAGGCCTCGAAAAGAATCTAATCCGGGCAAGTTGGGATGCGAAAGGCGAGATGGTCGCGGCCGGTAGTGGGGACAGGAGTGTTGTTGTGTGGGATGTCAAGACGGGAAAGTTGCTATACAAGCTCCCTGGTCACAAGGGAACCGTGAACGATGTTCGATTCACGCCGGCCGATGAACCCATTAGTAAGTTCAGCTTTGTGAAAGGGGCTGTTCTGAGGGACGTTCACTAACTCTCTACTGTAGTTGTGTCTGGTTCGTCTGATCGAACGGTTATGCTTGGTGAGCTCGGGAAATAATACCTTCCCGTTTATCTCCATATTTCACGCCTGGCTAGCACCTTTGAGGAGGTCTTAATATCTTCGACTGGATTAAGATTATTCAGTAATTCCATTGCACCCTATCTCACCTGAGCCGCGTCATACCTATACCTATCTACGAGCACCCCAGCTACCTTAGCATCTAAATGGTGAAGAGGATGCAAACGAAAATCATCCGAACAACCATCCTTTCAGCATCGACTACCAGAGTGGTTGCCTTTATCACAGCCTTACTATGCCTCCTTTCGGATTCAAGTTCTGTTTCTTGTACCTATGCTTGCATGGGGCAAACCCACTAGAAGATTGAGCTGTATATACTACAGAAACATGGCATGCGAGGCACAACTACAGCGACAGAAATGACAGCGCTGTCTAACCTAGTCTTTCCCGTGAACCTCATTTTCCCAATAATGTATCAAGCTTGGTTTGTTGCCGTATTTATGTTTGCTTTTTCAACAGAAGGTGCCAAGGTTGCGGCCAACCCGAAACCTAGCGCGCTCTTTTCCTCACAAACACGGACTCTCCTGCTTCAGAATCTTCCTCGCATCGCAGCCTCACTGGCCAGCAGGCGTCCAGAGCAGAGTCTGATCATGCATGGCTCAGCCCGGGGGGAGGTTGTAGGGCCGTATTTTTTTGCCATACTCGCCCTCTCAGTCGCTACGGGCGACTTCACACTTTTCCTTCACATGGCAGACTGCGCTTCCTGGATGGATAGCAACCATGCTTGCTTTTTCTCGGCTGGTTCTGACATTGGAAGACAATCTTGGTCAGTAATCTTTCTTGTCCAGTCAGTCAGTTTTGGCAGTGGCAGAGTGCCCTGATCTGTGCTCCGTAGAAGTATATATATCTTATAGAGATATAGTTATCCTCTTCCTTTTTGCTTCCTTCGTTTTCGTTTCTTGATTCCGAGCAGTCTAGATGATTGCTGGGAGTTATTGTTCTCTGCCTGGAACGTTGTCAGACATCTTGAAGATGCCATCTCCTTCGTTTTAGAAAGATAGACGTGCGGTCTACCCCGACATACGCGCTTTCAAGGCTTGGAATAGGTGTATGTGCTCCTGGACGAGACATCTTTGTTGACGGCCGCTGCGAATAATATACCCGCCATTACTCACTTCTTTGTACACTCGGTATTTCTGGAGCCTTGGGGTAATTTACTAGGCAAACGAATCCCGGAATCTGTCATATAATATCAACAACTCGACCTACACGCGCGTTTAGCCGTAGTATTCACTTTTGCTGAGGGAGGAGGCTACCAAGGCGCGGTTAGACGCCAACAAGGACAAACAAGGGCAAGCAAATTGATACCACAAGACATTGATATGCAAACCATGGCGACCGAAGATAACGCTGTCAGTGGACTAACCATGGCGGACCGGGTTCAAAAAATCCGCTCTCGCCTTTCCGCTCTTTTTGCTGGGGGTTCTCCTGGATCCTGCAACATAGAGAACTCCCATAAACCCTCACGGCTATCTCCAGCGGAGATACGCATGTATGCCCCCGGATCAGGTGGAAGTGTACGCCGTGAACGAAACATTTCGTCAGGAAGAAGGTCTATTTCGTCGACTGGCTCCGTGATAGACAACAACGCGCCGCCAAATGATAATATACTACCATTCTCACCCCCCAGTACAGAATCAGGTGGCCATATGACAAACTCACGGGCACAACATAGAGTTGAGAACCATATTCATAGAGGAGGTGTATTACTCAATTGGATTCAGCGTTCAGTCGAGGCTCACCCTCATCAACCAAAACACAAGCCAAGTCGTAGCAAATTGGCAGGGTGGTTGCTCTGCATGCGGCCGCGGGCGAAAGCCAGATCGACAAGGAGGAAACTTATAGACTGCGCCATTTCAGGGATCCTTTTAGCCAGTGTGCTAACAACATGTTCGTCACCATCCATTCCCTGCTTCCTGTGCTCAATTCACATACTTACTATATGCTTAGATCTTGTCCTTGCCGTCACTTCTTCAGGAAAGAAGTTTGAATTCCACATCATTCTAATTATTGCCTTGATGGCTTGTACAGTATATTTCTGCCATTCGCTCATCCGATTGCTGATGACGGCGAAACGGCGCCAGGTGCGCCGGCGTCGGGTGCATTATAACCAACCCACCCGGGACCCTGATATGGTCGAGAGCTTCACCCATATTGATCGACCTATCCCCGTCATATTTGCAACTGATTTGGAGATGGGCCTCGGAACTGAGGCTGAGGAGGGCGAAAACAAACCTGGCCAAATCTCCATTCCACCTCCAGCATATGGCCTTTGGAGGGGTAGTGTGGTAAGCCTAGACTTGGATAGTTACATTATACAGACAAGGAATGATAACATCGTCATTAGAAGATGGACCCAAGCCGGCTTTACTGGCAACGTATCGACCCGCAGAAACCCAATCGTCGCCACTCTCAGAGCATGGGCGAGCCCCGACCGCCAAGCACAAACCGGCCTCCTAGCTATATCTTGGACGAGAGCCAGCCGTCCATTGTTGTCAATCTCCAACCCCAATTACAGAGTACTTCCACAAGTTCAACTACGGTGCCAACCGAGCAATAAGCAAAATGCCACTGCGGCTCAGTACTCAATCAATGTTCCGTCCTAGTCGTGACTATACCAAAATAACCATTCGCTTCTCTTGAGGATTCTGATTTTGATGCGTTCGTTTAACTATTTGTCTTGCTAGTGGCTTCTGTTGGGGGGGGGGGAGGGTTTCCCGTAGTTAAGTAGTTAACTAGAAGTAAAACTCGAGAATACGACTTTACGGCCTAATTTCAAGTCCTCCAGTTATCGGCTGACTCCAATGACAACAAGTATCATACCATGGCCGATGTACATGTTCAAATTCACAATCTAAACAAGCTACACGCCCGCGTAATTGACTACGTAACTAGTTACTCCGTGCCTAAAATAACTGCCCGTGCATGCGGCCTTGGCTCCGCTGATGTAAACCCGACCAACATGCACATCTGTCCACACGCCGAATTTAAGTAGTTAACTTAGCGTGCAGATTTAAGGGACTACACAAACTATTCCAACACACATTGAACTGGCATAAACGCAGGTCTACCCTCGATACGGCTTCTGGTCGGGTTTGGGAACTCACAGAGGCAATCAATCCTAATGACATTGCGACTACCAATTTCCTCTTGGTGATGCGCTCGACAGACCGACGCTCCCATATGTCCATTCACCTCCCATCATCATGGCTGGGCTACTTGCTTGCCATATCGCTATGGCTTACCTGCACCCTGGGCATGCTGGAAAGCCAGATTAAAGAACTTCGGTGGGTTCATTTCCCTTTCATATGACAGTAACGACATGCAGCTCGACACTCACGACTACATATTCCAGAAAAGAAACGGAACATATGTTTTTTCACGGGTTTGAGAATTACATGAAATATGCCTTCCCTGAAGACGAACTACGACCGGTGTCCTGCCAGCCGTTGACACGGGATCGAAAGAACCCAGCGCATATTGAGCTCAATGACGTCCTAGGGAATTATTCCTTAACGCTTGTCGACAGCTTATCCACCCTCGCGATCCTATCATATCCAAACTCGACAGATCTGAACGGCCGCAAGGCGTGGAGATATTTTCAGAATGGAGTGAGAGATTTAGTGGAATTATACGGAGATGGATCGGATGGTCCTAATGGAATTGGGTCCCGAAGCAAAGGATTTGAGGTTGATAGCAAGGTGCAGGTGTTTGAAAGTGTGATTCGAGGCCTAGGTGAGTAAAAGATATAATGCTTCATCGGGACTCGAGGTGAACTATGAAATAGCTGATTCATTTTAAACTGTTGATAGGTGGGCTCCTCAGCGCCCATCTCTTTGCTGTGGGGGAGCTCCCAATACGTGGCTATGAGCCTCCACTGGAGGAGAAGGAGTTTGCAAAACTGTGGAATAAACCACTGGGTAGTGAGGGCGGAATTGAATGGGAGAATGGATTTGTGTATGATGGACAGTTGCTTAGACTTGCCAGGGATCTAGGAACGCGCCTCCTTCCTGCCTTCTATACTCCCACCGGAATTCCGTATCCTCGGGTCAACCTAAGAAATGGGGTCCCTTTTCATCCTAACTCCCCGCTCAACTCTAGAATATGGACTGGATACAACACCAATGAAGATTATGATGAAGATGGTCCTGTTGAAATTACAGAAAACTGCAGCGCTGGCGCTGGAAGCCTAGTTTTGGAATTTGCTGTACTCAGCCGATTGACGGGCGATGGCAGATATGAAGAATTCGCTAAACGGGCATTTTGGAGCGTATGGGATAGAAGGAGTGAGCTGGGGCTCATTGGAGCAGGGATTAATGCTGAGACCGGAGAATGGACTCAGACTTATACCGGGGTGAGCTTCTCTTAATCCAAGTGTTGGCTGTATATCACGACTAACTTACACTATTGATATACAAAGATCGGGGCAGGCATGGACAGCTTTTTTGAATATGCATTGAAATCCCATATACTGTTGTCAGAAGGCTATCCGCCGGAATTTAACGCTTCTGGACCGTTCCATGAATACGATAGCTACTTCTTGCCACTACCGTATCAGGCCCACTCACCAGATAGCTTTCTCAAAGTCTGGGAGGAATCGTTCGAAGCGATAAAAACCAACCTATACCGAGGCTCAAGCTACCAATATCCTCACTACATACAGGGCGACATTAGCACTGGGGCCACCCGCGCACTTTGGATGGATAGCTTGAGTGCATACTTCCCCGGTCTTCTCACTCTAGCAGGTAACGTTGAAGAAGCTGCTGAGACTCACCTTCTTAATACTGCACTCTGGACTCGTTTCTCGGCCCTTCCGGAGCGTTGGAATGTTGCAACGGGAGACATAGAGGGCGGACTTGAGTGGTGGGGTGGCCGTCCTGAATTCATCGAATCCACGTATTATCTGTATAGGGCAACCGAAGACCCCTGGTATCTTTATGTGGGTGAGATGGTTCTGCGTGATATCAAAAGGCGATGCTGGACCAAATGCGGCTGGGCTGGTCTTCAGAATGTCAGAAGAGGAGATCAGAGTGATAGGATGGAAAGTTTCTTCCTCGGGGAGACCTCCAAATACCTGTATCTCCTTTTCGAGCCATCTCATCCTTTGAACAAGATCGACTCGCCATACGTCTACAGTACGGAAGGACATCCGCTTGTCCTTCCAGCAAAGGCGAAGCAGACTACTCCGCCTCGTGTCCAACAGAAGTGGAAGCAACATAAGAATGCCTCAGTAGGCACATGTGGGCCGCCAGCAGTGCGGAACCCCTTCGGTGTATCTTCCACCGCTGCCCGGCCGGATATTTTCCATGCAGCCAGCTTGGCGCGTCTACGTCTAACGCCTCCAAAAACACAACCTGAATCTCCCATCGTTGAGTTTTCGGTTGATGGTCCTAGTGTTACACTTTCTGACTTGGGTTCTCCATCGAATTATACATATTTCCCTTGGACTCTTCCTCCCTCATTGGTACCTCGAGATGCTGTCAGTTCGCCGATGGCTGTGCGGCCGACTTTGGATCTGACGTTTCCTCCTCTTTCCAGTACGATTCAAGGACCTCCAAGCTTAGAACGTGTTGAAGGTGGGATTCTAATTAAATCCTTTGGAGGTCTACGGCTAGGTATGATTCAAGATGCTCCTCTGTATTCAGGCAATACCATTTCCTCCAAGGAAGGATTCCGTATACAAGTGGTTAGCAATATCCCCCTAGGCAAGAACGAGAAGGTTTTCGTTTCCCGCGAGACCACGAGTGCATTGAGTCCAACCGATCCCAATTTTACACAAACCCCTGACACTATCATGATGGACATAATCATTGATGTCAAGCCAGACATCGTCTACCGGAACAACTCTTCCTCATCCGCCGCGTCTCTTACTGACCAAGGCACAATTGTCAGTGGTGGCCCCGTTCTTGACTCCTCCACAGCAAAGGCAGATGACCATGCAGGTAAACCCGAGAGTCACAAATCAGCTCTCTCTTCGCTCCTTAGTCACGTAACAGCCCTTATACGTGATGAGCTCCAGCATCTCCCATCGGTAACACCGCCGATATTCCGCCGTCCAATAGCCCGGTTTTCAATACCGGCCATTTCCTCCACTGGGATAGGCTCAGCTCCATTACCGGACGAGGAAGATGCAACATTCACACCTCCGTCACCCGGTTCCAAACACGCAATGACCCGCCTCTCTTGGTCCAGTATCTACCTTGCGGGCCACCTGTGTGATAAACGCCTTCCGTCGTCTATCCCCCAGACACACCAAATAATAGTAGTGAAGCGAGGAGATTGTACGTTCTCTGACAAACTGAGAAACATACCTTCCTTCCGGCCCTCTCGTTCTTCTCTGCAACTTGTCGTTGTTGTCTCATACCCCCAACCCGGAGAAAAGCGACGCCAGTCTGCAGCAGACGAGGAGTCATCCTTGATTCGACCATTGCTAGATGAAATGCAGACTGTGGTCGGGGGTTTCCCTCGACCTCGTCCGATAAGCATGGTGATGGTCGGGGGCGGAGAAAAAACGTATGAATACTTCAGCCATGCATTGGGAGTAGGGATCCGACGGAGATATGAGATCCAGTCGCAGGGTATACCAATCAGCAATCTAATTGTCATATAGAGTATAATTATGGTGTCTTTGGGCGGTAGTACGCAGCTCCACGTTCTTGCTTATCCCTTTAGACACATTGGGTTTGTATAATTTAGTGATGGTGCCTAACCCCCTTATTATTATTAG